GTTGCTCGTCCAGTGATCTTTTATTAACAGTGGGGCAACTTTCCAGTTGTCCTCATCGACTCTGCACCACACGCAGCTCTCTCGTCAGGTCCATCTGACTGAAATAGGAAAGGCATGGGCAGGTCCGCCTCCCCCGACACCACACCCTGAACCCACTGCTCCACCCCTCCCCTGCTGCTGAGCCATAAACCACACCCCTCAACAATTAAATAAATAAGATATTGTTGGATATCTTAATTTCACATTAAAATTCAGAAAATCATAAAAGAAAGTTCCTCTTTGATATGATGATAAACGAACTAAAATGATAAACTAAGCTTTGCACATGAACAATCCCGTAAGTATAAAACTGTGACAATGCCAATAAAAGTATCTTTATTCATGCATTTGCATCAATAGACGAGCATTTCTATGGACAAAACACTTTCCTGTCCCAAAACTGAGTCACTACTTGATCTACAGCACATCTAATATTTCCATTTTCTTTAACAGTGTGTTTGGCAGCATGAGTGCAGCCTGACATGGAGTCAATGCTGAGACACCATGAGACTCATAGCCTGAACACATAATCATATCAGTTGAGTATGTGCCTGTGAATGCAGTATGTGTAAATTTAATACTTGATGTTTTGCAGGGAGAAAAAAACGTACTATACGCTGAAGGCCCAGGCTGTTGACGTTCATACAGGCGTCCCTCTTGAGCCAGAGTCTGAGTTTATCATCAAGGTGCAGGATATTAATGACAATGAACCTCAGTTCCCAGATGGACCCTACAGCGCCAGCGTCCCAGAGATGTCCCCAACAGGTAAGACAGCTACAGGCTCGGATGCAGTCGGTGGATGAAAAATTTAGATACCAGAACTCATGAAGCTAAATGAAAGTGTACACTCCTTATCAAGGAAAATATATTTTAGGTATAAAAAAAATACACAATGCACAAAAATATATTAAAAATGAAACCAATTTTTTAGACAGGACAGTCTCTCGTAACAAGACCAGGTTTTTCCCAGAAACTTTTCCAGTTATCTACAGCCAGCAATCTAAAGAGATCTCCTTAGATTGCTGGCTGGCTCAGGTGCAGCTGAATATGTCACCCCTGGTCCGATAAGGTAGGGGAGAGTGTCAATGTAATTAGCGGGTGAAGTTTTTAAATCAACTGGCTCCACAGACAATCTACATACTGTGGAACAGGAAGCAATACTCTGCTGCAGAGAGCAAACACCAAGTGACAGCGCCACTGTCTCTCTACTGTTTTCTTCTTCAGTGCCAACAACGCAGAGAGGTTACCTACTCCCACAGAGGTCAATTATCAGCTTAATAATTCTACATCTTCCCTGCGTACCACTACTGTAGCTCCTCTGAAAAAGAAAGCCCGAAATCAGAAGTTCTTGATTCCCTGGTATAACCGTCAAACATGCACCTTAAAACAGAAAACTTGTAAACTGGAGAGAAACTGGGATCTTATTTAGAAGATCATCATTTAGCCTGAAAAAAACAGTTTGCTGCTCTGCAGAAAAAAACTTCTGCAAAGCTAGAACGTTTTAGTATCCATCACTGATCGAAGAAAATAAGAACAACCCCAGGTTCCTCTTCAGCACTATGTACGCA